TGTTTACCTGTGCTGATCCGCAGTCAGCCTTCACTTATCGGTCATTAGGGGTCAGTTTGGCGCAATTTCACCTGCCTGTAACACACTGTACCGTGCCTAAGCGTCTTTCAGTTGCGACATCAACAGAAGCTTACAAAATTTTTTTCAGAACAAAATAAACCCTCACTAATCCTGAGTAATTGGGCGGGGGAGGTCAACCGGATTAGTGAAGCAAAAGGTAGCCCCGAAAAGACAAAAAGAACTTAGAACACAAATAAATGATGAAAACGTATCATGTAGAGCCTTTATTTAGAAGCTACAAAAAGGCAGAGCATGTATCCACCGACAGAAGACTCAGAAGCTGTACTTGTTTCTGAACGTGATGATGCAGGTCTGAAGAGACAAGCGACTCAGCTGGCTGCCTAAATGCCAAGTATGTACTCAACTGTGAACTGCATTTTTCATATAGCTGTAACCGTATTAGCGAGGGTTTGCTGTAATATGTCACTGACCGACAGAACGACTGCTGCGTTCTCACGAACGACTGACTGACTGACTCTTTGTACCCGCTACTGTATCGAGTTCTGGGGTCGTGTGGCTACGAATGCCGCTGCCACTTGGTCACTTTGTGTGGGGTCGCACAACGGAGGGACTAATCATAGTGAATTGGTGAGGATGTGGAAGGAAGGGGAAAGTCCAGTTTGCATTTGCTGGGAGGGGTCAAGAGGAATCATGGGACGGACGATTTTCAAGCCGGGATTTCAACCCGAGACGTACCTGATAAGAAGCAGGAGTGTCACCTGTCCGCCCCCACCCACGCATATCATACTTGTGGGGTGGAAGGCAGCGGACAGTAGCAGGATTTAAATTCCAACCCTCGAGTCTGGAGCGACTGAGTACAAACATGAGGCTCTATTTGTAAGTGGCTGAACGCCTAGATATTCCGCACGAAGAGCCTGATTGCCCTCCGTCACTCCTCATCACACCGAACAGGTTAGTTGAGCGGTAACGCTCTAGACTTGTATTCTGGAGGCGCTCTTTTCGAATCTCGGATGGGACACCGGCTATACTGACTGAGGTTTCGGTGGAGATTTCCGTCAGTTTCTCCGCTCATATGTCTGGAGAATACCTCGATTACGTCACGACCTGCCAATCCATCGGTGACACGCGATAGCGTAGTCGGTTGAGGCACTGTGCTACAAGCTGGACTGTCGAGGGTTCGATTCCCGATTAGGTCGTTGGATTTTTCATTTGACATCCTTTCACCCGCACTGTGGCCCTCTGGTCGACTCAGCCTCTAACAGAAATGAGTACCAGGAATCTTCCTGTTGATAAAATGCGGCTGGAGCGTAAGGCTGACAACCTCACCGCCATCTGTGAGCCGATTGTCTAGAAAATGTGGGAGGCTCAACGTCTCACGACCCTATGGGCCTCCACGGCCTGTTCTAAGGATATCTTTACTTTTTTCTTTACCTTTTCAGTCGATCATTCACACACATCCTACACCCACTGCCCCCTCCCTACACTGTGTTCTCTGGATGGTGGCAGTGCCGTTACGTAAGCAACAGAAAAGGTGCGTCAGTGTGTTGCAGCTGATGCGTCACATTGCACAAGTGCTCGTTTATTCCGCATTTCTATGAGACATTATGAAGCTTTTAGCACATAAGTGCTAGGAGACCCCGTCCTTGGGTTTAACGCCCGAGGTGAGGTTACGTCAAAGGGTGGCTTGTTGATGTACTTGATCGGGGAGGATGCGTTTGTGTGGTTCTGTTGTGTATCTGACAATATGTTGTCACGTGTTTAGTGACTAGACATAGGGTTTGGATTGGTAATTGGATTTATTGACTTCTTACAAATCGTAACTACAATTAATCATAGGGCTCTCGCTAATTCAGTATCTCACTCAGTAAGTCTTCTCTGGCTTCACTAGGTGTTGCCTGGCGACGGTTACCAAACTAGGTTCCTCCACCTCAGCTCCAACGTCTCCGCCAGGGGCTACTGTCTGAACCTCAGACTCACACTGGTCTGTGTGCAGGCTTTCTCTGCCAGTCCACTCCAGTAAATTACTTCTGGTCCTCGCCAGCACAATCATTCTTGGTTTTGGACCCCATCGGGACCCATGACCATATTCTTGTTCTTTCGGTGGTCTGACTATTACTGGTAACTTCCTCTCAAATGGTAGTTCCTCACTGCTAATCAGAGTTACTTTAGGACTGGCTTGTTCACCTGGCATCCATATATATAACATCGGTTCGGACCCAACAGAAAATATCGCTTCCAACAAGAGTTTCTATATTGTTGCATGTGTATCTGTTGCGGCTGTCACGTGATCTGGATGCCGTGGAAGCGTGTTTACCGATCCATTGCTTTGCGACGGTCGTCTCTTCTGGTTCAACAATACCGGATTTGAGCCCTCGTGTCACATTGCTCCCTCCGCAAGGCTGCTCGTCCCGAGTAGCCCGTTTACGTACTACCATTTTTTTCCTAATATGAGGCAAAACTTCCGAGAGTGTGCGGTGCTCCTGCAGCTTCGGCTCTTAATCTGTCTGTAGTCTCTCGTCCGCCCTGGAGAGTGAGGGCCGCTACCACTGTCTTGTCACTCGTTTTCCGGAGTGTAGGGGGTCCTCGTACACCGGAAATCCGACCCTGCATGGGGTCCGGGTACAACGCTCCGCCACGCCTCTACCGTTTCTTGATTACCTCCCCCCCACCTAATCCGTGACCTCTAGTTTTCCCGAGTGTCCTCTGCCTTAGGCTGACTTCCTACTTTTCGGAACAGGGCTCAGTGAATAGCGAGCGGGCCTTCACCTCAGCCTTGCACAATTCTGAGTGCATTTCAGTAATTTATCGAGGCCGCCAACTGAAACAAACTGCAGAGGCGAACATGTACATGTACTGGTCGGCCAGCTCTTCGGTATTTGGCAAACAGTTTCCCTCCGTGCTACAATCTGCTTCGTGTCCAAGGTGAAACATGCGCACTTCTTTGTGTGTGTAGAAGGATATATATTCCACCACATCGAATTAGAGCCACATTACTAAGCCAGTTCTTCGGTTTATCTAAATATCCTGGTTGCTGTGTCAGTGTACAAGTACTGAGTATCGGGGTTCGGTTTCCGGCAGGTCCTAATGTACACACCGGCCGCCACATGCAGCCCGACTCTCGGGCGCAAGGAGTGAAGCTGACCACTGGAGCTGTACCTCTGCTCCCACACACGTCTTCACGTTGTTATGCATTGTTAAGGTCCTCGCGGGGATGGGCGCCCACCGGACCTGTGTCCGTACGTGAGTGCTGTGACCCTCAGAATTGCTGGCCTTTGGCTCTTTGNGAGGACGGAAACTGATGCAGTTTCCGGATCGTTGCGTTCCCTGGCTATTAGAATACCGGACAATGGACAGATTTGGAGACCCCAGCAATTCTGAGTCTCCGGCGAACTGAGACCTCCTGCGTGGCGATTTGTACGTCGGAAGTACAGCGTGATGACTCTGCTGTCCACAATATACTGGGATGTGACACCGTTTAATCTTCTACCCTGAAGCTGGAGGCGGGAAGCTGCTCCGAAACGTTGGTAACGATCTACCAGACTGCAGCCTGCATTCCAGTGGCGGTTCGAACGGGGCGCCAGTGCTTGCAAGTGACGGGCCGCTGTCGTGTTGTGCGTATCTTTTGCTTACGTCACCTCACGTGCTGGCTACGTGCACTTGATTTACGCAGAAGCCACGTGACCCGGGTCGCGTGCGACCTACGTGCTGAGGCCTCAGCTTCTTGCTGCTGGACTTAAGGGGTGCAGCGTTCTGTTCCTGAAGACGGAGGCAACAGTCGAAACTACACAAAGTAGATTGCCTCCTTCGGTAATGTGTCTGGTTTATACTTAAGGGGTAGCCGGTTCGAGTCTCGGCCTGCACACAAACGTGACTTAGTCCTGACACACATGACGACCGCTTCCTTACAGATTCTTTCCAATTCATCATTCACTATCATCCAGTCAGAGTTCCGATGATCTAAGCCGTGAAAGCCTCGGAAAGATCTGATCCCTTTTAGTCCGGTAGGCCAAAGATGTTTCGGTGTAACGCACTGCCTCCATCTTAAGGGCAGAAGAATAAGTCAGTGCAAGCAAGTATCTTGCTTTCCTTTCTGCGTGTGGCTGGATGTTTGCTTGGTTTGTCCTTTGATCCTAAATTTTTAGACAGTTCGTCCGAAACGTCGATGAGCATTACAGAATTACACTTCACATCCGCAAGGCGCTGTTATGGGTACTGGAGATGGAGGCTTGATCGCAGTGGAGTGCTCACAGCGCTCGGGAAGTTGCTTGGGCACTCAGCACTTCATGGAACCCAGGGCTTCTGCGCCGTCTTGACCAAAGCCTCCTCGGGGAATCCCAGAACCATTGCTTGGGCCGTTCCAACGGTTCTGTCTCAGTCACGTTTCGTGGCTTTGCTGATTTTGGGCGGTGAGGAGTTGAGCCCCACATCCAACCTCCCCAACAGTCTAGGTAGCAGACGAGTTTGCGCATGTTCAGAGGCTGAGTTCAGTAGTCAAAATGGCGACCGTGCTTGAGGGGTGTACAGCCGAAGAGCCACGTTCAGTTGCGGGGTTCTTTGTGGCAAAAGGACTGAGTGCGAGGGATAGCCATAAGTGCTTGTCGCGTAAAGCAGTTCACACCCGGCTGACAAACGGAAGTGCAGAAGTGCGGAAGTGGCTGAGACAACAGTCCAAAAGACTTCTATGCTGCGGGGTTCCACGCACTGTTAAAGCGATGGGACAAACGTATCAATGTTGGTGGAGGGTATATCGAGAAATATTTTTTTTCCTTGTTTTACTTTTTATATCCCTTCGTGACCTATGTACTGGCTCTCCCCCCGCCCCCGCCAACGGGAATCGAACTGCGGCCGTCCAACCGTGGCAGTGTGGAGGCCGAGGAGCGTGTTTGCATTGAGAGCCGGCGGCGTGGGAGCGCGTTGAGGTGGGGGGAGGAGGGGCAGTTGCGACATTTATATAAGGGGCACCCCAGTGGCGACCCAGCACCTCCGTGGCAGCCAGTGCACTTGCGGGGTGTAGGGCTCACTCTCATCCGTCTGCTGTTGCCATGGAAACCGCTCTATTCGTGGCCGTCAGCTGCTTGCTGCTCCACTTGGGGGATCAGTCCACGATCCGTAAGTCTGTTTTGTAGTTCATCTAGCGACGTTTCTCAACTGCGTCCATTTCTTTAGTGTCGGATTGGAGGGACTGTAGAAGGAAGTGGTCGCGGCATAAGCCTCAGTGAGAACAGTCGGTGTAGCGGCGGGATTCGAGCGGGCTGAGTGTCTGGTGAACTGGAAGGGGCATGGAAGGAGGCGGGTAATGTGCGAGGGACTGAGGTGTGCTAGTTGTGGCATGGTTTAGTCTTTATTTATTGTGTACTTAATTACTTAAACCGTGTGTATTTGTTAGAGAAAGTGGCTGCTTGCACGAACAGGACAGGGATGACAGGGATTTGATAGCTTTGTTATAATAATTCTTATTAAAATGGGGTTTGTTGGTTTGAGTTGATACCTGAGAGTTCATGATAATGGTTCATTAATACAATGGTCAGTTTTCTGGACATTATCGCACTGATATTTATATGAAGCGACCAGCTTTGTCGTGGGGCTCCTGCGGACTGAGAAGTGTGACCCTGTTTCCGGGACAAATCAGCAGGGCGGACCCTGTCCAGCGGCTGCTTGGAGCCTCACGGAGTTGAGCAGAGAAAGTGGCCAGTCCACCTCTTGTTACTGTTTCCCTGAATCATGCGCAGCATCATTAAGGACGATCAGAAGGTTTTCCTTTATCACCAAAATATGAATGGCTGTCCCGTGCGTGACGCTTTCACCAAGTTTTGTTTGCAGCCGCGTCCAGCAGGGCAGGGATCCCCACAGTTGCGCCGTATGCGCCGCCCCGTAGCGTCAGGGTTGTTATTGGATATAGGCATTACTCATTCTGGCCGTGGGTGTGGACAGCGTTGCCGAAGTTACGCGCTTCCTTCTTCAGGCTCGAATTGGGTAGTGTAGATGAGTTAAGAGCCGAATGACGGAAAAGGAGAGTGCCCGGTGCCCCGTCAGTGTCAATATGGTCAGTGGCCAGGGAAGTTGTGAAATGGCCCTTATAAGGGCCACGGAAGGCACAAGACGGCTATCGACAGCCATCCGAGTGCTCGCCGGGCATACCGTTGCGAGGGTGAGATGGGGTGCACATGTAGCAGGGGAATGTACAGACATACAAAATCGTGGTAGACATGGACATAGATGGGAGGTGCAACTGAGTGAAGTTGTCCCTGTGCTTAATTAAGCACTACACCGTGAAGGCGGAGTGTAAGTGGAGGTATAGTTCCAAGAATTCTCAACCTCAGCACTACATGGAGGAGAGTGGTCAGCTTCACGTTCCTGACCACTTTACCCCCAGTACCCACTGTGTTCCACGACCGGTCTGGGGACATTTTGTCCCCGCCCGGAATCGATCACCGATTCTTCGGTTGTCAATTCGTAGCCTAGTCTCTGTACCGAGTAAGCTCCCTATATTAAAACGCATCTTAAAGAAATTGTGTGAGGGTGTGGATTGGATTAATCCTGCTCACGATACTGGCGAATGTTGGGCTGTTGTGAACACGCTAATGAGTACTCGGATTCTATATAATGCATTTCTTGAGCAGGTGGCCGACTGTCAGATTCTCAAGAAGTACGCCGATTCATGGTATGAACGGTGGGATGTCTGTCTTGCCATCAGACGTAACACATACCGCTCGAAACGAGAGTCAGAACGCAGTAGTTGGTACATCGTCACTAAAAGAACGGAGCACGGACAAGTAACAAGCACGTGGCAGTGACTGCCAGTCCATGCGCTGTGTGGGAGTGTTTATCTCAGTACCTCTAAATTAATGCTGAATGCTACGGCCGAAGTTACGAATGCTTGGAGCTGTACCTCCGCTCCCCACATACGTCGTGGTACGATGTCTCTGCATATACACCAAAATTAATCATTCATAATCATCCTTCCATTTTGTGCTGCGTTGAAAAGCGCTGCTGCCTGAATTGAGACTGAAATAGAATGACAAATCAAGTTCCAACTGGATTCATGTTCGCAGGTGTTGAGTTCGCATTTCGACTCGGATGGTGACTATCCTTACTCCGCTCTTTTCGTAGTTTTCCTGAGTCAGTCCAAGCGAATGCTGATACAGAACATACAGATAGGCCACTACAGCTCTCTTCTACTCCCCCTCCCCCACACAATTCGCCGAGGAGCACGCGGTAGCTCAGTTGCTCCAGACAGTATGCTAGAAGCCGGATGGTCGTGGGTTCTATTCCCGATGAGGTCACTGGATTTTTCAGTCGACCTAATCCTTCCAACCGCACTATGGTCCTGGGGTTGACTCAGGAATCTTCCTGGTGGATAAAGGGCGTCCGTCTCTTGAGGCTGACAAGCTGTGAAGAGTGCTGTATTCTGGGTTGCAAGGCAGTGTAGTTCGGAGGAAGTTATCACTTCCATGGTCAGTATAGAAGAGTAAGCCTAGGACAGATTTCTGCATGCTTTTGTTGTTTTCTTTCTTGACTTTTTCTTCTACCCTGAAGATGGAGGCGATATGTTCCTCCGAACTGCATTTCGTTACAACCCTGATTGATTTAATAATGCCCATTACAGTAAACACCCACTACTCCGGAGTAATTTGGGGTGGGGGGAGCGGTCATCCGGATTAGTGAAACAAAAGTGGTCCTAAAAAAGAAAACAAATAAATGGGAAACTTAATGCTCTAGGTACTTCTGCAGACATGAACAAACATGTCACTGCAGAGCCTGTATTTAGAAAAAGGCAATACATATAACAGGAGGAAAACACAACACAGAACACGATACACAAATGTATGTAGGAAGAATGCTCACATAAAAGAGGATTGGCGTAATTCGCGTGTTTGAGTGCGACGTAGGATGAATCCTAAAAAGTTTTATTATTTAGAATTCATCGACATGTATGACGAATATAGATTTTAGTCATTTTAGAAAGAAGACATCATGGCGTGCATAAAGACACCTGAGGATGGCACATTAGTGCTGAAACATGTAGTGTGGAAGTGAAGAATATGGTGAGGGGGTGTATACACTGTAAGACGGTTAGCATAAAACATGGACAGTGCATGTATCCACCGACAGAAGACTCAGAAGCTCTACTTGTTTCTGAACGTAATGATGCAGGTCTGAAGAGACCGTCAAGTGACACATCTGCCTTCCTGTGAACAGCGTTTCCATGTTTCGATCCGGATTAGCTTCTGAGCCCTGCAAAGTGGAGGGGGTTAATGCGATAGGTTCGTGCCCGTCAGGGTCGGACAGCAGCGCCGGTAGCTGTTTTCTCCGAAACGTGACGATGACCCTAGCAGCAGTAGCTCAAGGTCTGCCAATATCTATGCCGGTCAGGTCCGCGGCGTGGCGAGTAGTTTGTATGCAGAGCCTGGGCGGGCGTTGTTAGGCAACGCGCAGTGCCCATCCGATCAACTGATTACGCGAATCCTTGACTAACCGACTGACGCTCTGGCTGACCGATTAATTGCTGAAGTTAATAATTGACAGACAGGTTGGTTGACTGCATACCTGGCAGATTGTGACTGTGACACGGTTCAGATATTTGGGAATGACAGCAACAAATCAAAACCTGATCCAGGAGAACGAACTCGGGTAATGCTTGCTACCATTCAGTCCAGAAACTTTTGTCTTCTCGTCTGCTGTCCAAAAGCACAGAAATTAGAATATATAAAACTATAATTTTGTCTGTGGTTATGTATGGTTGTGAAACTTGGTTTTTGACATTAAGAGAACAGGGTGTTGAGAATATTTGGACCGAAGAGGGATGAAGTGGCAGGAGGTTGGAGAAAACTGCTTCATGAGGAGCTTCATAACTTGTACTCTTCTCCAAGCGTAATCAGAATGATCAAGTCAAGGAGGATGAAGTGGGCAGGGCATGTAGAATGAATGGGGGAGACGAGAAATGCATATAAGACATTGGTGGAAAAGCCAGAAGGAAAGAGACCACAGGGAAGACCAAGGCGTAGGTGGGTGGACAATATTGAAATGTATCTTAGAGAGATAGGACTGGGTGGTATGGACTGGAATGGTCTGGTTCAGAACAGGGACCAGTGGAAGGCTGTTGTGAACACGGCAACGAACCTTCGGGTTCCATGAAATGCTGGGAAGTTCTGGAGTACACGTACAACGGGCGCCTTCTCGAGAAGGGCTCAGCTGCATGAAGTCAGTTTAGTTTAGTTTAGTTTAGTTTAGTTTAGTTGATTGAGTAACCGATTGCCTTACTTAATTATTGAGAGCTTGGCTGACCCAGTAATTTGCTGACGTAATAATCAGCTAGGAGGCTGTTTACCTGCATCATTAAGAGAAGGGCTGACCGACTTGTGTTGGTGCGGTGCCAAGCAGCAATCTCGACTCGGGTACAGTGTCCTCTCATTTTACTCGGAGTGGCGAAATGAAAAATAAAATAAGTGGAAAGCATGAAGGAAGCTGTCGTGGCCTATTTAAAGGAACTATGTTGGCATCTGGAAGCCACTGCAGCGTCAGGGTCCGCCCTGAATCCGACGCCTGGGCCCTGACGGGCAGTTCGGAGGAAACCGCTTGCACCATTGACAGGACAGACGTCGCAGTGCTGTAAATTTCTGAGATTTGGTGTTCTGTCCTATATGACGCCGTACAGTCTGGTGGATATTTACTGGGTACATGTTGCTAAGGAGCTGTGAAATATAAGCTCAGTCACTATAGTTACTGGGCTACGGGCTGGACTATCGGGGTTTGGCTCCTGTCGGAGGCAGAGATCTTTGTCCAGACATGCTTTGGTGTTCACCTTTCGAAAGGGAGGGCGTAGAGCGACAACTCCAGTCACTCAATACATCCCTATGACGTGATGCGGAAACTTTTCTTTACGTTTGCTCCTTCATCCTTAGAGCCCGCCCGGTGTTGTGCAAGCAGGGGCCCACATTCATGCCGCTGGACGTGCTGTACTGAAGGCCGCCAGGTGCTGACGATGAAAATGTTGCGGACTAGCAGGAGTACCCGTTCGTCGCCCGGGATATATCGCACTCTGTTGCAGTTAACATTCGTGTTAATAAGTGAAAGTCTACTCGCTGTGTAAAGAAATATACGAAAATGCTGGACAAAAAGATACCACGTGACGCAGGTCAGATATTTGGGAACGACGGTAAGAAATCCAAATTTGGTTCATGAGGGAGTTAGGAGCAGGTTGAGCTCAGGTAATGCTTGCTACCTTTCAGTGCAGAACCTTTTGTCTTCTCGTCTGCTGTCTAAAAACATACAAATTAGAATATAGAGGATTATAATTTTGCCGGTGGTTCTGTATGGGTGTGAAACTTGGTTTCTGACATTAAGAGTCGAACATAGACAGGGTGTTTGAGAACAGGGTGCTGAGTGAGATATTTGGCCTTAGGATTCCGGGGAAAATTATTTAATGCTGAGTTTCATAATTTGTAACCGTCGTCCAAATTATCACTATTGTCAAGTGAAGGAGGATGAGATGGGCATGGGATGTAGTACGCATAGTAGAGAAGAGGAGTGTATATGGAGTTCGGTACGAAAACCGCAAGGGGTATATAGGATGGGAAGTTGTGCGGCGCGCATGCGGGTTGCGTAGCATCACAGCCGTGCTGGAAGACCTTGACTGACAGGGTTTGAGAAATCGCTTTCTCTGTTGCAGCCAGCTACATCAGAGTTTGCAAGAGGTACGACCCCAAACTAAACGATTGCATCATAAACTCCATCGAAACGCTGCGGCCATATCTGCTGAAAGGTGGGTGCCCACTTACGAAACCAAGCAAAAGATGCTAATATTTGGATATCATTCTAACTGTATGTTGTTATTATTGTTATTGTTACGCTTTGTTTGAAGCTTGCCCCGTCTCAGACACTAGGCCAGTTTCTGCCAGGACACGCACCTCCGCTTACGGAGAGTTGCTGCTATTACATTTTGCGTATGCAAGAACAGGCTCGGAGCTGGGCAGGGCGTTATGAATTCCTCATGGTTAAGACGGAACGCACTGCCTCGTATGGGCGTATTGATTGGGACGGCGTCACCAAACGGAAGCCACCTGCCAAGACTGAAGGAAGGATAGCTCGTGGAACACCCATTCGCAGCTGCCAGGATAATATTAAAATGCATCTTAAACGAGATGGGTGCAAGGTTGAGGACTGGATTTATCCGGTTCAGGCTTGGCGCACTGCGCTGCTGTGAACACGGTAATGAACTTTCAGGTTTTATAACAGGCAGTGAATTTTAGTGACCAGCTGAGCGATTGTTAGCTTTCCAAAAGGCTCTCTATCCTAAGGAGTGCCCCCCCACACCAAGTGAGCGCGAAGAGGGTCTGGGGGCCCTCCCCCTGGAGGTACTCAGTAAGCCATGCGAGTGTATGTGTTGTGGCCGGTTGAGACGTTATCTTGGGCTGTTGCCAGGTATTCCCGAGTTGGAGGTGCCATCCATCGAGCCCCTCACCCTGCCCGAGGTCCTGGTTGCGCAGGGGGCCGGAATCAAAGCCGTAGGCAAGAATATCAACATCAATGGACCGGGAAGTTTCGTCATCAAGAAGCTCAAGTATGTCAACACTGACTGAATGGGTAAAGGTAAATGAGCGTTGTGGGGCGCGATAACGTGGGAACCCCAACACACACAAACGCAATAATTGCACAGCAACAGAAAAACGGCGTTTTCTGTACGGTCCGTGCAGAGTTGTTATAAGCAGGAGAAATTAGTGAGGAGTCAGCCAGTTAGTTAGTTGGTTGATTGGTTATTGAGATAGAGAGGTAGATAACCGCATGGCCTCAGTTGTTTGAGCTGTTGCTGTTAGAAGCTGGTAAGTGAGACTGGGGATAGTTCGGGAACGCAGAGGAGGGGAAACATCCACTGTTGAAAGCCGCTACCAAGCAACGACTAGCGAAGACTATCTGGTGTGTCCTATAGTGGATTTGTGAAGTGTGTAGAACAGAACTCACGTGTAGTTACGTTCTTTAAGAGTTCACTAATGCGATTACCAATCCAAACCCCGTCTGTAGTCACAGTCTTAAGCAGATCTTAATATAGCAGGGTGTGAGGGAGTGGCTTGGTTTTGTCCAGTGACGAGATCTTGTGGACGTGGTAATGATGCCTCTATTCTGTAAGATGCGAGGCATTTCTTGACTTTCTGAGCCACTATCAGCTTCTCAAGAAGGGCTTTACTCAATGGACAGATTCATCTGGTTACTATTAGGGCTCATTGGCAGACTCTTGTGAAGTGAGCAGTGTACCTTGGCAGGAAATTTGTTGAGTAGCTGAGCAACTGTTAGCGTCTCAGAGAGTACTCTGCTAGTGTTTATAGAAGTAGAGGATAAAATTCAGAGAGGGCAGTAAGGGGAGGGTGTGGACTCTGATACTTATGTTGGTGCTGCCCCTGTTGCAGTGTTGACCTGGCCAACTACCAGGTGGATATCAGCGTGGACCTCCCTTACCTGACTTTCAATGGAGAGTACGAGGTGAGCGGCAGGTTGCTGGTCCTGCCCCTCAAGGGGAAGGGACCCGTGCGGGCCAATGCTAGTGAGTTCTGCTTCCTAAATACACGTATGTAGATGTAGATCGGTGAGCTGGCGTGACGAAGCTGTGGGAGGTTAGAGGTACTTGTCTTTGCCACAGTTTCCACTGGGTACAAGGGAGCAGAGCCGTTGGGACGTCCTTCCGGTACGGCGCTCTGTTCCTGAAGCGCAAGGAACGAGGTGTGTAGCTTCGCGCACGCCTTGAATGTTCATGTGAAATGTACAATTTTCATGCCTTAGGAAGTCGAAGCAAAATTTGCTTACATGATTCTTTTGAAGAACTTCATAACAGCTGTTTGATGCGTCGTTGCAAAAATACAGTTATTAATTATGCCATATCTGTCCATGTGTCTGCTCTCTGTAACAGCTTGGAAACTGCTGAATGGATTTTCATGAACTATGATGATTGGGGGGGGGGCACGTGGTAGCGTACTTGGTTGAGGGGCTATGCTAGAAGCCGGAAAGTCGCGGGTTCAAGTCCCATTGAGGTGATTGAATTTTTTCAGTTGACCTAATCCTTCCAGCCGCACTATGGCCCTGGGGTTTACTCAGCCTCTAACAGAAATGAGTAACAGGAATTAATTAAATAATTTTCCTGGGGAGCAAAGCGCGGCCGGCGCTTAAGGCTGACAACCTTACCGCCATCTGTGAGCCGACTGCCTAGAAAATGTGTTAGCCTCAACGTCTCACAACCCTATGGGCCTTCACGGCCTGGTACAGGGATAGCTTCACTTTTTTACTTTTATGATGATGTGCAGTCTCGAGGCCAAAATCTATTGACACGTTCCAAATTTGGTTAAAATCGGACAACGGAACAGGAAGACTTACACATGTTTCTGCGTGCATCTCAAGTGTGACTTGCTAAATATTCATTGCAGTGAAAAATGTATTAAATGAAAGGCTTACAGAAAAATGAAACATATTTTATGTCCAACACATTTTTAAGTATTTAAAATTTCTGAGATGATTAAACAGAAGTGAAAACTCTGTAATTGTTATGATACGTGTATATTTCTTGACCCTTCTGATTATTGTAGATAGAAACATCAGGACTTTGTTTAAAGGGCAATTTAAATATCACATTGGGATCTGGGTTTTAGTCTAGTGCGAGTAGATGATTCTGAATGCCCTGAAGTGTTCTTACCCACTCGCCAAATTGCAAAACTCTCATGAGGTATGACGTTCTGTAGTCCAGTAAGAAGTTGCCAAGTTTTTGAGGAAAATGCTCGACTTACCTTCAGGCTGGAACATGGAGGCAGCATATAAAGTTGTCCCTTTGCTTAACTGATTAAGCACTACGTCATGAAGGCGTATGGGGAAGTGAATGGATTGATCCACATTTTCATGACCTCGGCACTAGCTGGAGGTGAGTGGTCAGCTTCACGCTCTGGCCACTTTACCCCTGGACACAGATCCCCCAGTACCCATCATGTAGGAGGCTGGGTGGGGCAGAGCCGGTCTGGACGACGTGGAGAAGAACACATTCTTGAACCTACCGGGACTCGAACTCCGACCACTGTGCTGTCCAGCCCGTACCCAGTTCTTTTGATAGAGTATTCGACATAACTTATTTTGTATGTCATCACTTTGATTGTAATGCTTTCGGTGCAACAATGCACAGGTTTTGAATCCATCAGAATGATATACACATATTTAAGGCTTTTCACTGCTTCTTGGATCACTTCACTCAGAGGCTGACGCTCATTTCAGAAGCAAATGCTGATTCTTCGGTCCCCTCGGTTGTCCTTCCCAATCTGCATCTTAATTTCGGAACACAGAATTACGAAAAACTCTCGTTCACTGTCCTTGGAATCTTTCGGTTCACATACTAGTAAAAACAGCGCACATTAAGCAGGAGCTATCGAAGGAACGTCCAGGCGTCTGGATCATATCTGCTCATTTTACAACCCACTGAATATACTTAGGCCACATGTTATTGGGATTTGTGGTGGACAAAGTGGTATTTAGCCAGGTTTTCTCCTGGTACTAGGGTTTCCCCATGAAGGCAGCATGTTCCTCCAGAAAGTTGGTAAGTATCTACCAGACTGTATGGAGTCAGGTGCCAGAGTGGAGTTACTCCCACAATCAAAAGTTTGGTTTTAGGCATGCGGTGGTTCACATTTGTGCGTGCAAGCAGGGCTCACACTGACTGTGCTCTGACCTGTCCACAGCTGACTGCAAGGGCGATGTCGTGCTGTATGCTCAACTGGTGAAGAAAGCCGACGGCGAACATTTGCGCTTCACTGACATCGACATGAAGATCACCATTGGAGGGTACCACGTGCGCCTTGACAATCTGTTTAACGGCGACAAGTTCCTAGGTAACACACTGTTGGCCTTCAGAAGCTAATACTTGCACTGTGGAGCCACTGGTTCGAACCCAGGTGACTTGACGAAGATTTGTTAGTTCTCCTCGCCTGTCAGAGTTCCAGCATTGCCTTCTACTGATCTGTTCCCACCCCATGACCAGGCAGGCTTGTCTCTGACATGATACTTGGCTGACTACAGAGATATTAAATTAGTTTCTTTATCGGAGCCCACGAAAGTGACGCTGTAGCCGGTGCTCTCTGCCACAGGTGAAGCGACTAACGCTGCCTTGAACGAGAACCCCAAGGAACTGATCGCGTACTTGAAGCCAGTCGTCGAGAAGACAGTTAAGAATATCATCCAGAAGATAGCGAATAAGATCACACAACATTTTACTCTTGAGGAACTGCTGCCTAAGAACTAGCTTCTTCCGTTTGCAAGAGATGTGGATGCTTCAGACGACATTTGCTGTGGAAACTGCTGGACGCTGCTCAGTGCTGGGGTCCACGGCTCTTCGGAAGGTGGGCCTCTCAATTGAAGAATGTAGTTAAAATTATGTTACCCTCTGGAATAAAAGCTTTGTTCTAAAGCCAAGTCCTTAGTCCATAAATTCCCTTTGTTTTACCGAATCCAGATATTCGTTACCATGGTTACAAGAGCCTGCTTCTGCCATCATGAGGCGTTAGGTTCGCTGTGTCCATCACACAAAACATTGCTTCAGGAACTTAGTCCGTTTCTGTCCTGAGATGATGAGATCGAAGGGGGTGGGATACCTGCTCTGGAGTGAGATCACTAGAAACTTTAAAGAGAATTCATATGAAATTGCATTCACGTAGAATTCATGAATATAAGATGAAATCATATGTGTTGGGGGATGCCTGTATGTCGAGTTGCCAAATCATTTTCGGCACTAAATAATACTCGTTGTTTATGGGGCATGATTAAATAAGGTGCGTGCTAATTAATCTTAATTTCATTCATGGGACAGCTCCAGCTGATGTATTAACCGAAACGTGTTTCATTCTTGCTGCACCTGCAGATGAATGCTTCACACTGGGGATCCTATCGTTACATTGCTTGATGACAGCTTAAGTACATCGATGTATTGCGGTAGCTAGGTACTGGTGTTTCGGAGGAACATTATGCCTCCATCTTCAGCGGTGTCACTTCCCAGAAGACCGTAGTTTTGAAATTTCTCGCCACGATGACTTCAGATCTTACATTGTACATCAATACATCTGGATGTGAAGTCGTGTAGTCTGGTAGTATCAACATTTTGTTTTCAGCAGTGTCACAGACCATAATTTTAATGTTAGTTGTCATGAGAACCTCGGATCTCACATGGTACATCAAAATTATGATCATCTGGGACGTGACGCCGTGTCGCCTGGGAGAAAGGTACCAACATCTTTGGCATCATCACAGAAGACGGTGTTTTTGCTTTTGCACATTTTCTGTGCTACAGCTTAGCGGTGTCCTTGTTAAGTCGTTTTGTATCTGCTTTTGTTGCATCATGTAGAACTGTAGACTGTTCTAGTTTTGTGTACCTGATAAATAAATGTATATACTGCTAACCTGATACCTTCTGTCGCTTCCATACAAGCGCTTCCTCATTTTCTTTTTCCTTTGCAATGGCCAAATGTGAACTTTCTATTTTTAGGAATGTTTCAGAAGGGAGGATTTCTTTCAGTTCATTGTTGCTTTGTAGTCCATGCAGGAGAAATGTCTGAATGGGCTCGATCTGTGTTGTTTTCGGTTCTTCAGTGAAATACTGAGGACATGCGCAGTATAGATCACACACTGCTAAATATGTCAGATTAATTCTTGATTGGTTTCTGTTTATTATACGCTTCAACCAAGCAATGAATTAAAGTGATTTGCCAATGTAAAAATTGAAATAGTGTTCCCATCTTGTTATTGTAGTTCTTCCTGTAATTGTCAGAGGGTCTGCAGAATACACATGTATATGACGATATTTTGCAAATACCCACAAGAATTCATAGTATTCTGAACACATAATGAATAAAGAAATATATTCTTTCATGATGATCACAGTTTTTCTGGGATCCGACGCCTTGTAGTCTTGTAGAATTTTCCCGACGTTTTGGAGAACCCTGCTGCCTCCATCTTCAGGGTATTTCCACATCCCATAAGACAGTAGTGTTCATAATGGCAAACTTCATATATACATGTAAGATTTGAGACTTTCACGGCGGTGACTATGAAGAAAGCAGTCTTCTGGGTTTGGCACCGTGTATATGTGGTGTTAACCGACGTTTCGGAGGAACGTATCGCCTCCATCTTAAGGGTAGAAGAAAAAAATAATATATATATAATATATATAATAATATCATATATATATACATACGTATATTTCCACACAGTCTGCTTTTGCCGGTTCTCACGGTCTCTTCGCTTGCATATTTATTTTTTTTCTTCTACCCTGAAGATGGAGGCGATACGTTTCTCCGAAACGTCGGTTAACACCACATATACACGGTTCCAAATCCCAGAAGACTGCTTTCTTCATATATACATTTTTTCTGTCATTTGTGTAAATGGAATTTCATTGATTTATACGGATTTTCCTCAGTTTCCTAAACCTGCATGAATTAGCAGCCTTCTTTGGCACATTTTTTCTGTATGTGATTATGAGAATGAAGCAAATTTTCGTTGCTGCCTGTGCGTTCACACCCTGTATCTTAAAGCTAACAAAGTCCATGGAACTGAGTCCTTATTGAGAAGATAATAGTTACTTTGCAAGTGAAGAAAATCGCTGTTTTTTATGGGTCCCATCGGTTCATTACTGTGTTAACAGGACTCATCTACAGGACAGTTCCCCAGAACGGCTGAATTCAGTTCATGCCCTTACAGCGAGTTTCCTTAAATTCTATTGCAATTTTATTCTTCCATCTCACATCTGTTGTCTAAAATTTGGTGTGCACTTTCCTTCTGCAGGGTATAGGCAGCGTGTAGCACTCAGCCCCCACAAATCTCCTTGTTATGTAATTTTGTTTAGCCTGCTAAGTGTACAAGTTAAGGGGAAACTGTGAGCTTGCCAATACTGTGTGCATAT